GCCCACTTTGTGGAGGGTAAGCTACATAGTAAGTGACGTCACGTGCGCGACATTCACACCAGGACCTAGTTGATTTATATAGAGGTGCTACAGTAGGTCGAGCGACCTAACTAGTTTTGCGTGCATCGCTTCAGTGCGAATCTCCCAACCGACACTCGGGTCACTTCGAATCTTTGCCACTCGCATTATCATACTCCACTGGGCTGATTACTTCAATGACCCATGGATAGGATGTATTAGGTTGGCTAATAAGTAATGGCCGTTTTTTTCAATTGAAAAATTTGTTCGAAAAGTGAAACGTTTTGCAAGCAAGTTATATATCATCTGATAGGAAACTTCTCGTAGTATAAGAATATCAAAAAAGCTTTGGTTGAGGATATAGTTTTTGTGAATTTTTTTAGTCGTTGAAGTTGGAAGTGAAGTCGGGCGAAAATTAGCATCTTCGACAACCTGCCTCTATTTACGTCTACTCGAAGTGCTAAAATCGCTTAAGCTGCTCCATACATTCGGAAAAGGTTGAGGTAGAAGTCTCAGCAAGGGAATCTCAATAGGACGCTTTGGAACTAATTTCAAGAATTTCAAAGTTGGCAACCTTCACCTTGCCAATATTGGGCAGGCTCACGTCTGTTCCACCTGAAATTTCATGCTAATAGTTGAATTAATTGAATTGAATTTGATATTCTAATACTACGAGAAGTTTGCTATTAAACGATATTAAGCTTGCTTGCAAAACGTTTGACTTTTGGAACGAATTTTTCGATTGAAAAAAACGGCCATTACTTATTAGCCAGCCCACTGCTAGTGGGCTGGCTAATAACTGCTAGTGGGCTGGCTAATAAGTAATGGCCGTTTTTTCAATTGAAAAATTTGTTTCAAAAGTGAAAAGTTTTGCAAGCAAGCTTAACATCGTTTAATAGCAAACTTCTCGTAGTATTAGAATATCAAATTCAAATTAATTTAACTATTAGCATGAAATTTCTAAGTAAATAGAAGGCAGTTGTCGAAGATGCTAATTTTCGCCGACTTCACTTCCAACTTCAACGACTAAAAAATTCACAAAAACTATATCCTCAACCAAAGCTTTTTTGATATTCTTATACTACGAGAAGTTTCCTATCAGATGATATATAACTTGCTTGCAAAACGTTTCACTTTTCGAACAAATTTTTCAATTGAAAAAAACGGCCATTACTTATTAGCCAACCTAATAATTTTAAGAAAGTACTAAGCATTTTATGATGAACAGAGGCGGATGGTTGCTTGGCCCAATGAGCAGGAGACCAATTCCCAAATCATTTTGCTCCGCGGGCCCAAATCGTCTAGGCAATACTAGGGGCAAGATAGTTGTTCAATGAGTAGCAGGTTCGTCTGCAACAATAATACCCTTGCCTGAATAAGTCAATGGAGGAACTCCGCGCCGATGACACTTGAACACGGGTTTCGCGCGTTGTCCCGGCAGGTATTGCTGTCCAATACACCCACCCAGAGCCACGTACTACCGTGACTTAAAGTCACATTCCTCAACTGTCAGATTTGCAGACGATGTGCCTTCTTTGTTGATGCACCTCTCCTCCTAACGTGGTAAACGAGCGGGGTAAAATTGCTACGAGTCCCGCCCATCATTTATGTTGGGATGCGTCTTCACTCATGCTCAGGCGAATACTCCACAGCTCCCCACTCTTCTACACATCACGAAGACTCCAGAATTAATGTGTAGACCGAATACGAATGGTGCTTTAGATGACCCATGGATTTGAGTGTGTAGACCAAATAGGTAACAAAATGCCGTCTCGATTCATGATCGCGTTAGAGCGCGGCGTGTTCCAAGGGGAAGGGGCTTCCGTCGGCGCCAAAAGGTCTCAGCCTCTCTTGGTATTCTGTGACATAGTGAATAGTTCACCTTTTCTTAGAACTAGTACTGCTAGTGGCCAACCCTTCGGCTCGATTTCTCACGGGTTTGAGATTATTTTCTGATTATTAGCTGTCCATTTGAGACAAACTGTACACTCATCTCCAAGGACGGCCCTTGCCATAACGTGCTGTCAATTGTACAAGTCGTTCGTTCATACGTTCGTCGCTTGAAAGCGCGCAGAGATGAAGCTAAAGGGTAGTGATACCCGAGTGCTGTTCGGGACTTCACCCGCGCTATCCTCAACTGCAGCACTCGGTGATTAGATTCCGCAGCGAAATTTGGAGGTAGAGAACAACCAGAAGTGAGAGGGTTAAGTATTAGATTGTTCGGAAAGAAATGGCACCATCGATTACCATCTGTTCCGGTCGATGCAGCACTCCCTGGCCGAGAGAAAGTTCACAAACCGCGAAGAAGTCCAACTCTGGGTGTCCAACTACTTTGAGTCGCAGCCGGCCGAGTTCTTCGAAAGAGGAATCCATTCTTTGCATAAACGTTGGCAACAAGTCATTGATAGTAACGGAGATTATCTTCAAATTTAAATCTTCTTTGATTTCGTTTTTATAATAAAAAGTTCTTTAAATCAAACCAATTTCTTCAACAACCTAACATGTAGCTGCCCTTGCTGTAGCGCGGGCGAGGTCGGGAGACATCATCGGGGTATAACTGCACTCCAACCTGCTGCGTACATTTTTGCGCGGGGAAGGAGTCACGCTACTGCCCCTGCTGACCTTACCTTGGAGAAGAGGGTGCTTTTTGCATTCAAATTAACAAATCTTATTTATAGAGGAAAGAAAGGAAAGAACTGGAGACAATACGTGAGAAGCAAGAGAAAGCATTCCAAAGGCTCCAGCAAAAGAACAACGTCACAACCATAGTGATAGACAGTGGGCCACCAGTGCCCCAACGGGCGCTTGTCGTGCCTGCACCAGTGCCACTTCCTGTTTCCAAAGCTCCTATATGCAATGGATCTATATTGGTATGTTCAAGATTTCAAGAGTTTAAGCCGTTCTGACCTAGTGGGTCCATGCTTTGGCTTGTGCTTCCATTATTTCAGGCTTGTTTCTTACAGTGTAATATATTTTTTACTCTCAGTTCGGCTTGGTGGGGGTACTACGTAGTACTCAGGTATGGCCTGTACAAGCTATTTTGTAAGAACCCGTGAATTCCTGTAGCTAGTGTGGCTTCTTTACAGGTCTCACCAAAGTTGAAAAACAGACCTGTTGAAAAACATGATCTAGCACATGCAACTGACGAAGGCCTCGTCCTACTCCCCCTCCCAAGCCTAACTGCGCCATTCACGAGTAGATGCCTACAGTGCAAGCGATTTGGTCAATTGTTTTTTGATTTGTGTGCATTCTAGACAAATCCACCACAAGAAACGTCAACGGCGGAGGCAACACCAACCCTACTTGGTAAAAGAAAAACAGCTCCTGCGCTGAAGCGACCAGCTAAACGTCGGAAGGTCATCCTTTCACATATGCTCTACCCTTGAACTTTCGTCAAGATTCTCTTTCAGCAACCGACTAGCGAGGACGCTGAAGCGATGCCACTTATTCCGAGGCGTCCATCGCAGAGGAAAAAGAAGCCGCCTGTGAAAGTCACGCTTGAGGTTGGTCATCTTTTCAAGCTAATGAATTGCAAAATATCAGGGGATATGGGAGATGAAACATGGATCAATCCTTATACGGGATTGGCCAAGCTGATGATTCTTTTGGGATGTACCGCCCGCGGCTGCTCTTTCTACCAATAACGGTCGATTAGGGGTCGCTTCAGGGAGAAAACATCAATAGGTGAAAAGGGTGGGCTCCTTCTATGTCTTTTGACACCGCCCCAACTGATTGCGACGATATCAACTGTATGGCGCCTGCTAGTTGGCCAGCAATTTTCAAACGGCCAAAAGGCAATAATTGGAGGAAAGCGTGTTGATCAGTGGGGGAGGGAGGAGAGGGAAGGGTTTGGCAGGGCGCCAGCCTTTTTCTCTCGACAAGCGATAAGACCATCATATCGTATGTATCAGTCGTTTTCCACCATTTGATGTCGCTACGTCTCTTTGACAACTGGTGGACAATGGGCGGCGGCGCGCCAAACCCCTTTTCACTGACACGCCCCCTCATCCGCAGCGAACAAGACTCAACATTTTCCACCAAGCAAACACTCGTCCAGGGGCCTCAAAGGTCCTTTAACGTGGTCCGTCACACCACTCCATTCTTTTCTCTTATCAATCGATTTTCCCAATTGTTCCGGAGTCTTCGAGTAGAGTATTTTTCAGGTCGATCGAGCGACGGTTCGAGTACTCCTTAAGAACAAATTTCGCAACGGACTTTTTACCACAAAAGCGGGTGCCATTAGTGAATTTATTTTCGAATCTTTGCCATACATACTCTATCACTTATACTGTTACTTATTTAGTTGTGTTATTTTGTTTTATTTGTTACATATTAGCCCCTAATTGGGCTTCCTTCCGATATAATTTTCGTTCTCTTCTTTTCTTCGAGATACACTTCCTCGCTTTGGGCGGAGTCACTTAGGCCATTGCATGCTCTCCCACTGGTGAGATCATCCGTTTTCAGAAAGCGGGACCATTCAATGAGAACAGTGTTTTGAGAAACTCCGCCCACGCGACTAGCATGAAGTACGACTTTGAATTTACGAAGCGATTTAATCAGTAGCCATTCTGGAACACAATGGGCGAGACTAGGTCAAACTCACGCTCTGCTTACCTGCACTCGGGGCACGTCCTAACGTCGGGGAAAATGTTTGTCAAATATGGTCTGCCTCAAAATTTTCCCTTTGGTGCGACAATCCTCATCTCCTACTTTACCTACCATATCCCCGAGTTATTCCGAAATTATTCCAATTTTTCCACCTTTTTTGCGGACTTCTACCCCAAAAAGCCTCCAAGCGGAAGGAGGAGGGCAAATGGACCCCGTCTATGCTGTGTTGTGCCCGCACTCCAATGCTGAAGAGGACGAGAAGCGGACGGCGGATTGCTACTGGAGCGGAAACCGTTTCGTTGAAAAGGCGCAGACCTTGCAGACAAAGACATGGCCTGGTCTCGTAGATGATAGCCCCTTTCCCCTCTTGTCCCCCCCCAACTACCTCAACACACCCATTCTTACACGATATTATAAATGTGTTTATCCTCAAAGCATCACTTTATATAATTCAGATTCGCTCAATCAACCAGTACTAAAGGCGAAGAAGAACCGTGCTAGCAATCGATAATCTGTTTTGAAATATGTGTCATTATTTCGCTTTTCGAGCTTAAATTCTGTGAATCATTAGGAATATTGCAATCAGAATCACTAGCCTAGGTATCACTCGTGAGTGATAACTACTCTGTACGTGTATTGAATACAGGTCAATGCGATTTCTCGTTAAGCATATTTTTATCACAAGTTGCCAGAATCGCTGTACGAATTGTTTTTTTTTGCCTATTATATTTAATTTAGTGAAGTCGATCACTTGAGGTACTTTCCACGGGAGACGGGCAAGAGAACCGTAATTTGCCGCTCCGCCGCGCGCAGCGATGGGCGCGGCGTTTTCTTAACTCGTATTAACCTGTCGATTGGAGCACCGATCTTCATGTAGACCCCGTCATTGTAGACATTGATAACACTAATTCGGATTCTACAATTCTGATTACCCGCCTACTAACGACCTGAAACCATCTCATGTATGAAGCGCGACGGTGCGCACAGCGACACCATCCACGCGGCAAATTACGATTCTCTTGTCACATACCCGGCGGGCCACACATGTGAGGAGCCGTTGACTGTTTCCACCCACGCAACTAGTGTGGGCTGTGCCTTTAAGTGCACCAACACATCATTAGGAACTCTTCTCGAATCTGCTTTCTTCTACGATCTGATGTTCCTTATGCGTGCTTTTGTATGCTCCACAATGCAGAAAGTTCCTAATAATTCATACCTATAAATGAACATAAAAATATAAAATCTGTTTGTTTTTTCCTTTAGATACAATCACCTATGTGGTGAAGTGCGGCACCCATGACTTCCAATCTGGAGATTGGACTTAGCATACAACATAAGTTTTTCACTGTAATTTTATTTATTTTAATACATTCACAATTCCCTATAATTAACTTCACCTGTTGATCAATCTGGACAACCGATCAATTAGTCTGATTAGTTGAATAAAAGACTGAGAGGATAGAACTGAAACTGGAGCGTCATCAATTGACAGTTCTGCGTGTGCGGCAGGTTGAGCCCAACAGTACGGAGGCAGTCACAGTAAGTGAATTGCACGTACGGGCACGTCTGATGTTGGATTAGGATCGAATCTAGCTGAAAAATTCAACGAATCGTCAAAAAGCTTCACAGTCAATCAAATTTGACCCGACTACTGAAGTTGAAAGAACAGCCCCGCGCTCAGTATTACAATAGGTCCGTCCTTCCTTGTGACAAAGTAAATCATAGCCCCCAAGCTAGAGACTGTCCCACTCTATTCGTCTGCACAGCGAGCGAGAAGCGAGCTACAGCCGCTGTAAGTTCTAGTTCTAACGCCTGCTCAGTTGGACCGCCTTACTTGCTAGATGAATCCTACCGACGAGAGGCCACTCAAGTTGTCTTTAGTTGGGCGGCGGCATTGCTAATGCCATGAGTGTATCTGCCTCCCCTTTATTACAGTTTTACTCATGAGAGGTAATACCATTCAATTCAACATCATCTATCGCACGAGGATGAAACGCGTAAAAGACCGAGTGACGCAATCTTTCGTGATGTAAACCCGACGCACAAAACGTACCATACACGATAATCCAAATATACAGACACCGCACTTGATAAAATTCCTTATTTCCTTCCAGAGTTTTTCCTCTGCGTTTTTGTTGTTTTCTTTTTGTATTCTTTTTTTTGCACTGGATGATATCAACTACTGCCGAGATGTAGATATAGAAGAAGATTTGCGAATCTAGGGAATTGCACAGAGAACGCCAGAGGAATGTAACTTGTGAGGACGCGACTTTTGTTTATGTTAGTTACTGAAGGACGCATTACTTGCGCTGTTTCTTCTTTGAAGGAGTATACTATATCAAGCTTACGTTTCATAATTGAAAGCAGCCTATTCATAGAACATTTCTATCGCGGAGGCTGCTTAAGTTAATTAAGACTAAGTTTGCTATTTGCTAAATTGTAAATGATTTACCATGAGCAGGAGTGGAGTCACGTAGTGTTCGAACCCGAACCTAGGGGTACGGTTCACTCGATGGGATACTTTACGTGTGAGAAAACCTGTAATCCCTCAAGCGGTTGACAGAAGAGTATGAATCACAATTCTTTGTTGAAAAATACCTCGTCAAAGCAGGTGCTCACGTCACGTTTCGTTAAAGGCAGTTGGCACAGATAAGATTCAACCTATTTAAAGTATGAATGACTAGGATTGACTACGCTGGCAGGGCAGACGAAATTCCGACCCATAAGATAGGCCTGCACATAGCGATTATTATCTTAGAGACCACGCGATCCCATCTGGCTAACATGGGTCTATAAAGCGGGTACCCAGTCATACCGACCGCCGAACCCTACCACTCCGCCGCCAAAATGGGACGGACTGCTTCCTGATGGCTCGTATCTGCCTGATCTTGTCTAAGTAAAATCATAACGCGAAAGGCGGTCCGGTATGAAGCAGCTGCGGTGCTGAATGCCATATCGGTATACCACGTGCAGCGTACTTATCAGCCAGTGTTACTTCTGCAACTATCGTCTACGGAAATCGTCCCGAAAACTTGACTTTCAAGAACGCAAGTCTTCTTCTTTCGGCAGTTGTTGCCCGTTTCACTTCATTTTCGCACTTCCGCTCGCTAGCATTTCTAGGTGGAGATGTGCCCACCTATCTGCCACACTGCCATTTAACATGTACGCAGCTCACGCGCCCACATTTACATCCAGGAAGATCTTCTGTGCATCTTGTGCAAGCACTTCACCGAACATCACGACTTCAATGTACAGACAACATGGAACGTGCAAAAAAAAAGTAACCCCAGCAAAATGGCAAAACATTGCGTTCACACAGCGACTTGACTTGATATGAAAACAAAGAGGGCGGGGCTGAACCTTGTGGGCGCGGCCTTGTTGATCTCCCTGACACATATGGCGGCAGCATGTTTTTCGTTAAGGTTCTTGAAGGCGCACAGTGGTGCATCCATTACGAACCGGAATAATCTTGTGATGGCGAAAGGTTCGCATGTGAGCCGTGGAAGTAAGTCACAGAAAACAGCTGTGCCTCTCAAACCATCCCTGTGTCCTCTTTGAGTTATAATCGTTCCATGAGAAGCTTCCTACAAAATAATAGGTTGGAAGGAAAGTCTTGTCACTGTTGTGACTTTTTTCTTTTTTATTTTCTAACTCAACATACAGTGGGAATTAGTCAACAATATACTCGTCATAGTTAGCCACTACAGTGCTCCACCTAATGGGCAGGTGAGCCTTTCCCTTCCAGAATGAGGAGGCTTGCGAGCAGAGTAAGTCGGCCTCTCGATTGTACACATCAAAATTTGCCTGAAAGTTGAAGATAAGAGGGCCTTGAGGAAGGTGGGAGCCAGTAGCAGTCTTACTGGGACTACGACAGGGGAGAGTACGAATGAGCAGGTTTGGCTCCCAGCCCTTACTCCTCAAATTATTTGGTAGCCTCCATAGCAGTATCGAACGGTCCTCGCTACTATTATATTAGGTTGTCCGGAAAGTTCTTAGCGTTTTGGGTGTTTAACTTTAAACGATCATAACTTTCTTAACACTCATCGGATTTAATCCAAATAAGCACCATTCGAATCAGCACACTTTTGCCAATGTGGCAGCAGTCGAGAAATCCCATCAAGAAAAAACTGGGTGGTCGAGAATCCACGAAATCTGCGAAGGTCTTTTTTGCCTGGTCTTAATTGATGAAGTATTTTTCAGCAAGGAAGTTCTGAAAATGTCTGAAAAGGTGACAGTCGGTTGGTGAAAGGTCTAGAGAATATGGTGGGTGAGGTAGAACTTCAACTCCCAATTCGTTCAATTTATGGATAGTGATTTGTGAAACGTGTGGGCGGGCGTTGTCATGCAAAAGATCTTTCTTTTGATAAGTGTTGGCTGCAGCTGACAATATTTTCGGTACATTTGGTCGGTTTGTTCACAGTAGGGTTCTGCTGTGATGGTTTGGCCTGGTGATGAAAAGTTATAGTGGATTACAACAGCCGATGACCACCAAACCTGACCAGAATTTTTTTTTCGCGAGGGTTCGGCTTTGAAAATTACCTCGGTGGTTCCTCCAAATCCAACCACTGTCCGGAACGTCTCCTGTTATCATACATGATCCATTTTTCATCACAGGTGACAAATCCGTTCAAAAACGGGTCAATTCTTTTGCGCAAAAGCAGTGAAGAAGGAACCTCGAGACGTGCCGATTCCTGCCGGTCACTCCGATTGTGGGGCACCCAATTGTCGAGTTTTTTCACCTTCCCAATGCGTTCCAGACCATCTGCAACAGTGGATTTGCAAACGCCTAGCTCTTCTGCTATCTCTCGAACTGTTTGGGATAGATCAGCCTCCGAAATCCCCTCAAAATCCTCGTCAGAATTGCTTTAGGTCGATCGCTATGAGGTTCACCTTCAAGGCTGAAATTTCCAGAACGACATTTGTTGAGCCATTGCGGCACAGTGCTTTCTCTAGCACTATTGGGCCTCCACACCTGGTTAATTTGTTGAGCTGTTTCGATTGCGGATTGCCCCAATTTATAGCCGAAGAAAAAAATCGTCCGAAGTGCTCTTTTCACATGCTTGAAAAAATCTTGAAAAAAGAGGGTTTATCAAGCAATGGTGAAACGGCAATTATACCATCAGATAGCGCAAGAAATTCTCTACAGGATGTGCTACTGAAGCAAGGCAGAATGAGTTTTTAATCAGCAGTGAATGTACAAAGATTAGGTGCACAAAACGCTAAGAACTTTCCGGACAACCTAATATGAACAGGGGCTCCGAGAAGCAAGTTCGGCTCGTTTTTTCTTCAACACCCAATTTTCCTTCGGTCTTCAGGATATAAACGACACAAAGGTAGCGGTTGCGTATTACCAAGAGCAGCTCGTTCTGCAGCACCCCCCCCCCTAGAGCAGCCACAGAGACCTCTCGGAATACGCGCCGTTTCGGACTGCTGAATGGGATCTTCCTTTGAGAGAGACACCACGCGGTACTGTGATTGGTTGAAATCACAGAGGACCATCTTCAATCTCACTAAGCAGTCTACCAGAAACACCTTTTGACGAGGGCGAAGAAGAGGAGAGACTGACCAGGGTGTACTCAGGTGCACAGTGTGCCATCGGTCAAGGTATTCCCGAAATGCTCCTGTGAACCGGATATCGTAATTTAGACCCAGGAAAGTGATCCATCGAGCCAGTACTTTTCGGTAGTCAAGGGCTTACAGGCGGTTGACGACTGTCAGTTAGGTACATCCGAGTCTTGTCGCAAGACTGCGGGTGGTAATCTCCGGATCCTCCTTGACAGCTTCTAGAATGGTGGAGTCTAATAACGTGTTATTAATTCCACTCCGTGAGGCCATCCCAACCAAGGTTTGTCTTCTTCGTGTCTCCTTTCGCGAAGCGAGCGAACCAAACATGGACAGTCATGGATGGCAGTGGTGTCCTCCACCAATGCACTGCTGATGTTGCGTACAAGCTGTCGCGTGGCTCCAGTGCGCGGGGCCACTGATAGAAACACTGATGACCGAAACATGTCCTGTGAAAGTGACATCGTAATTAGACCCAGGAAAGTATAGGCGCCTTCACCCAACTCTTGCAGGAAAGCTCCTAGAGTGTTCTACAAGCATGGCAGTTACGACATGTCGAGTATCAAGAACCGAAAAGTGTAGGCTTTTCAAGGAATGACAGGACCTTTCTTTCAACCTAGAACACGGTCTACATGACCGTGGTTTTCCATTTGGAGGCCATATCTTCTACATTTTTCATCCCCACGTTTTCAAATGTTTCTATAGACCGCCTCTTTTCATAAATGACTTCATAAAACTCACCATGCGCACTGCGATGACGTCTTTCACTAGGCAGAGTGATTGCTGCAACGTTGGCATCGTAGTTCTGAAAGTTTGACGGAATTATCGATATTAAAAACCATTTCAGACTGATATCTTAACCGTTTCTACTGCGCAATAACATAGGACAAAAGCAGGGTTGTGGGTCAGTGCGTCGCTGCCAACAGCACCGCGTCCAGAAATTAGAATCCGGTTTAGGGCCATGCCAAACCCTTTCACCTCACGATCACCAAGGATGGATTAAGTTTGCACCAAAGCGCGTGGTTTTCAGCCAACCAGGGTATATGATACACGTTAAGGTTCCGTAATTGAAGAACTCTTACACAGATGGCTGATTGCTACGAATGAAAGGTGGGTCTCGTAACAAAACAGTTTTAGAACATGCGGAGCCGTGCAGGGATGAATGGGTTTTGGGGCCACACCAGCCTGTTTTCATCACAGGTGGAAACTGGCAGTCGATCCCAATGGGGGGGGGTGGTGGAACGGCCAGCTCTGCGGCAAATCCAGCCTTCCTGACATACCCCAGCGAACAAGACTGTAGCCCAGCGTTTTTCTAATTGTTAATGTTTCCTATCACGTTCCCCGCTCTCTAGCCCCCTAGTCGGCGGGGCGTCGCATTTTTACTAATTGTGATGGTAAGTATGTAAGTAGGAAGAAGAAGAACTACCCCGTCAAACGGAATTTTGGGGCGTCGTATTTCTAGAAACGTTCGATACCGGGACATGCTTCGCAGCCAGCACACTAAGTTACTGTAATGCGCCTAACCCGGGCATTGTATCGTTGGACTGATTGTTTCCCATTACATTGGTCGTGTCACATAGAAGCAAGCTCCTTTGCTAAAAACCCTTGTTCCCTAGTTATTGCTAGCAAAAGGCAAAACTCCCGTACACTTAATTGAACGCTTTGAAGACGTAAAATAGTAGGGTTGCGGCTGGAAAAATAACCGAAAAGGGTGCAATTTGACGACGGGGCATTCTGCACATTTGCTACTTCCCATCGACGTGTCGACCTATCTAAACAGCCTCTTCTCGAGTTGACAGGTTTTAAAATGACGACCCGACGACCTTGTTCCAGCTTCACAAAGGAGTTCAAGGTTGTCGGCGCCAGATTTAGAGACCATGTAAACCGAACTAACGGAAGCAATGTAAGCTACAAAATGCCCCGCTGATCCGTGAAACTGGCCCATGAAAAGCTCATGGAACTAGTTTTTCCTTACCTTGAGTATAGCAACTAGCGAATCAATATAGGAGATAGCAGCGTTGAGGATTTTCAGCTTGGATACTCGTTTCGTATGCGCTCGTAACGATGGCAGGTGAAATTTCAGGGTAACAAATGCCTAGAAAACGTAGCTGTACTAACTTGTACACTGCACTTGTTCAGTAACTTGTGCAGAACAATACGCGATACACTTTAGGGTGGTACTTCCAGAACGCGCTTTAAAGGCACGGCCCGCAGTTCAGGATTAGATGGTTGAAAATATGCGGGCGACCGTCAGGAGTAGTTGTTGTCCGCGTCGAACAAATTTCGTACCGGTTTGCGGCAAAAATCTGTGAAGGAGGGGCGCTATAGCATATATAGAGGGTCAGTGGCGACTCCTTTTTTCCAGTGGAACGGGGGGGGGAAACCCCGCCTCACAGGCCCCCCCCTTCAAGGCCCACCTTTCAGTGAAAAATGGAGCTGCGGGACAAAAAAGCATGAAAATCGCCACTTGTACGGTCGTAGAGCTCTTATCGGGGAATCAGCTCCGTGGATGGGGGCGTAGTGTGGGAGATGGAGTTAACTGGGCAGGTATGAACTGGGATCGAATTTGGTCTATTTGGGGCGGTGGGATGTATCTGCTTATATTCAACAATAGAGTTACACAGCAACTTGTTAGTGTTATATGCAAACCCGAATTCACTCTTGATGTAAATGATCACGGGCTTTGCCTTAGGTGTACACCTTACGGTTCCGATGGTTTAAGGCGAAACTGGAATATGATAATTTTTCTTTTCCCCCTTTCACGGCTCTACAGTGACTCACGTACCTGGTTGCGGTTACGGTCATTATCCTTGCAAACGATAGGGCGTGCGACGTGGCACGGATTGCAGTGCAGCCAGGCGCCCTTTTTCCTACAGTGATGACATCCTGACTCGACACAGCTGATGGGGAATCTGATCTGATTCCGCTCCAAGCCATGCCCCCGCCACAAGCCCTATCGTTTCCAGGGACCATGACTGTATACCGTATGCTATACTGCAGCCTATAATGGCCGCAGCGCCTTCGTCACTCATTGTGGAGCCGCGAAAGTGGTATGATCTCTATGCTTAGGGCTACTTGGACAAGGAAGGGCTTCTATAAAGCTGAAAAGCGTCCTGTGGTGCAAATTCACCTGGTTAACGGTATGAACGCGCGTGCGTTCACGTGCATTCCGCTTCGCCACCACTGTCGGCTGTTTCTGCCACCGCTTATGCTCCGAACGCCTTTCGGCGTCGCTCGATTCGTCTGAAACGTCATCATCTACAGATCTTATTGTCGATGTGTCATATATGCGACTGACAATACTTCGGGATCACAGATACCGTAACCTCACCGTACTGTGGATTTATATGGCGATGAATGGTGAAGCGCTCTTTCGGTGTGGACAGATCGTTCATTTAGGTTCACCTAAACAATTACAAGACAACACTAAGTAACAATTACAACAGTTACACAGCAAGCTGTAAAGGTAGGCTTAGAAGCACATTTCACGAAAAAGGGGCGCGGACTTGTGGTCATAGTGCCTTCCTCAGTGATGTCTTCCTCCTTTCATAGTATTGGGACGAGTGACCCACCAATGAGGAAGGCATAGCGGTTGGATGGGCGCTGTCCAGCTCAAAGGGAGGGGGGGAGGTGGGGAGTAGAAAGTAGCATTATTATCCTTTCGCTAGGTTCTTTCAATGGATCCGTCTAAATTAAAAGTAAACACTCTTGCCAAGGGTAAGCGAAATCTCTTTAACTGGAATCTCAACTGAAATAACTGGCCAACAATAACAAGTAACTTAAATCTAATTGATTAATAGATTGAATGCAA